TGATGGACTCAGACCTGTTCATGTGTCTCTGTGATGGACTCAGACCTGTTCATGTGTCTCTGTGATGGACTCAGACCTGTCCATGTGTCTCTATGATGGACTGAGACCTGTCCATGTGTCTCTGTGATGGACTCAGACCTGTCCATGTTTCTCTATGATGGACTGAGACCTGTCCATGTGTCTCTATGATGGACTGAGACCTGTCCATGTGTCTCTATGATAAACTGAGACCTGTCCATGTGTCTCTGATGGACTGAGACCTGTCCATGTGTCTCTGATGGACTGAGACATGTCCATGTGTCTCTGTGATGGACTGAGACCTGTCCATGTGTCTCTGTGATGGACTGAGACCTGTCCATGTGTCTCTGTGATGGACTGAGACCTGTCCATGTGTCTCTGTGATGGACTGAGACCTGATGTGTCTCTGTGGTGGACTGAGACGTGTGTCTGTGGTGGACTGAGACCTGTCCATGTGTGTCTGTGGTGGACTGCAGAACTTTCCCGGTGTCCCTGCCTCTCAGACAGGGACAGTTGGACATGGACAGAGAGGACATGTTACAGTGTGTCTTTGTGTCTCAGATTCAGCAGTTGGAGAGACAGCTGATGGACTCAGAGAAACGAGCCTTCGCTGCAAACCAGCAGGTAAGAACCTGAAAGACCAAACAGACCAACAGGCTTCTTCAGAGTCCAGACTCAAGTGTCTCTGTGGGACGCTTCAGGTCCAGTGGATGGAGGACAAACTCCAGGCTCCTGGCGGTCAGGCTGGAGACTCGGAGATGCGTCTGTTCCAACAGATCCAGGAGCTGCAGGTCTCTGTCCAGGACAAGGAGGACATGATCACCAAGCTGGAGCAGCAGCTGGAGGACCAGGTAGACCCATGTGAACAGATGTGGTTCCTCCTCAGGCCTTCAGAGGAACACAGCTGTGTTTTCTGTTCCTCTAACAGAGACAGATCCGACTTCAAGAAGCCAAAACGGTGGAGGAGAAAGCTGCTAAGATCAAGGAGTGGGTGATGCTGCGACTGTCTGAGGTAAAYCTTGGACCAGAAAGATCTGCAGGTCTGGGTCTTTTCTTTTCATCTGAACTTCTCTGACCTTCAGTTCCAGGAGGAGAACGCAGCACTGAGAGAACACAACAAACTGCAGGAAGCTCAGATCCTGGAGCTGCAGAAACAACTGCAAGGTGAGGAACTTTGTCTTTCTGTAACTTCAGACAAATGTCCTGAAACCTGCATGTCTTTCTGTCTGTAGCCTTTGAGCAGAAGGTCCACAGAGAACCAGGACTCCCAGATAAACCGGCTCAGGCTCAACGTCTGAGCAGCCTGACGTTTGGATGTTTCCAGGTGACGGGGAAGACCCCCCAGGTCCTTACAGGTCCTGTCCTGTCCCTTAGGACCCCCAACACCCAAAGAGAGATGGATCCAGATCAAAACCCAACTGGTAAGTGCTCACGTTGTCTCAGTCAGGACAGAAGGTTCTGACTGTAATGCTGGCAGTGAGATCAGACCCAAAGATGGAGGCTCCACACAAGGAATCACATGAAAGAAACMTTATTAAAGCAAAAAGCCGACGGGGCAGCAAAAAACTAACTAAACATCAGGAGAAATCAGGAGAATGGCAGGACAGAAACCAAACAGGGGTCGGACGAGGACGTGGTGAAAAAGGACCAGTTAAAAAAAAGCAAGGTTGAGTCGAAACAGCTGGTTGAAGACAGAGTGGAGACAGAGTAAAGACATGTTTCAGATAACTGACTGTAAGACTACAGAGAGGCAGAAACTGAGGTGAAGACACAAGGGGGAGACACAACAGGTCACAGATCCTTACACTGATGGTCTTGCAGGACTAAAGGCTTTTGGATTTCTGCAGTTTACTAACTATTAATTTTTCTTCTTCAGTTTTTGCATCTAAACTTCAGACATCTTGTGAGCTGAGTTATTGTTGGGTTTTTATCAGGAGGTTTTGTTCAGTTTCCTCTGAAACGTCTCTCATTGTTCTGTTTTTGACAGAGAAGCGTAACCAGGAGACAGGATCCTCAGAGATAGATGGAGTCCACATATCTAATCTAAGCGGACCTGTGAGTTTTTCACAAAAGAACAGCAGCACCCCAGAGAAACAGACTGCTGAGAGTGGATGTGAACCTGAATCCTGCAGGAGCTCACCTCTGCTCTGCAGTATTGCTCCAGAGGGGGACAGATGTTCTGAGGACAGTGGAGGACCAGGTGGTTTCAGCCGGCCTGGCAGTGAGGCCCACCACTCAGCTTCTGATGACAGCAGCTCTTTTTTTGATGACTACATGCAAAGGACAGACTGTCCCAGCTTCAGTCTTCTTGGACCCACAGACGAAGGACTGGCAGGGTGTCCAAGCAGGGGGGAGGACAGGTGCAAGGCAAAGCTACAGGGCTGCACCTCAGAGGAACTCAACAAACTATTTAATAATCAGAAACTGGACTCATCGTCCTCTTCCAGTGAGCCGACCACCCCGAGCCCCATCCTTACCCCAGCTTGCATCCCAAAAAGACCCAATGCACCCCAGGACCCAAGAGACACTCCTGCTTTACCAAAACAGCCCCGTTTGAGAACCCCAACAGGGTTAGGGTTATTGAACGCCTCTCTGGCCAAGAGACACCTTAGCCAGCCTCTGGTGAGCGAGGCTYTGCACCATCAAACACGTAAACACGCCTTGAGCATGCTGCGCCCTCTCCAGCTGCAGGAAACCGACTTAGACCAGCAGCTGGAAGACGATGTGGTGGCCAGCAGGGACAACCAGTCCCAAGACCTCCAGTATTCACAAACAGCACCCATCAGGACATCTGAGTCCTGGACTGAGATGAGTCTAGATGGTTCTACACCAGGCAGCAAACCGCCAACTCCACCTTTACACCGACTCCCCTCCTGGGTAAGATTTTCCCCCAAACCCAAGTCCCCTCCTTGGTTAGACCATCCCCAAAACCCCACTCCCCTTCTGGGTAAGATTGTCCCCCAAACCCAAGTCCCCTCCTTGGTTAGACCATCCCCAAAACTCCAGTCCCCTT